GTCCTGGAGGGGGCGCTGTGTCTACAGCAGGGTGTCCAGTCCTGGAGGGGGCGCTGTGTCTACAGTAGGGTGTCCAGTCCTGGAGGGGGCGCTGTGTCTACAGCAGGGGGTCCAGTCCTGGAGGGGTGCTAAATCAGTTTGATAATGGCTTAAGTAGACTAAGTGTCTCCCTGCTGAACAGGGAAGACTATGGGGGGAATCTGATCCAAATATTCAAAATACTCAAAGACAGCGACAAATATAACCCTACGGAAGTCTTCGGAATTAACACAAAATTGAACACAGGTCATTAATGAGAGGCTGTTTAGCCCATGTAACTCATCTGGTAGTTGATCCAGCTGTTTCTTGAAGGAAGTCAGGGTATTTCCTTCAACAATTTGGTTGGCACCTTGTTTCACACTCCCGCCACCCTTTGTGTAAAGATCAGTCTCTTGTCCTCACTGGAGGATCTCATCCAGCTGTGTCTCGAGAGAAGTGAGGTTATGGGCTTCAGCACAATGACTGGGCAGTTTGTCCCAAGATATCCTACACCGTGTGACTGTGCATTTCTCTGCAGTCAGTCAGGGCTGCATAACCTGTTCCTGTTTCACAGGTCCTCCTACTAAACCACTGGGGCTGATTTTGGGAATGTCCGTGGTCATGGTCCTGTTGGTTGCAGCCCTGGCGTTCATAATCTGGTACCGCAGAATGAAGCGACGACCTGGCAAGTTTCATTCAAATCGACAGCCCGTCTCTTGATGTGTCTTTGTGCTTTTACTGTTAATCTGTCTGTCTGTCATTCTTTTCTGTATCTACTTCAGCCTCTCTGTGCCTTTGCAGTTATATTTGTTCATGGTTTGCTGATGGCTTCTGAGTCCAGGTCAAGTACTCCTTCTGGAGGAGAGTGCTGATTGCTCCTGTCAATAGCAGTGGTGTCCTGCTGGACTCCACAGAACATTACCCAGGGGTCAGTGCTACTTCCTTACGTTGGCTTGACTCCTGTGTGACTACCCCGAGCCAGCCTGGAATCTCTGGCTGGTTGAATGTAATGTGCCTCTTGCCAAGGGTGTTCCTCAGGGGTCTGTACTGGGACCTTCACTGGTTACAACTCGCGTGTTGCATCTCGGCCAGGTTATTCTCCAGCAAGGACTTGGGCTGCACCGCTCTGCTCATGACACTCAGATCTACTTCCGTCCAGATCAGATGTTTGTTTGTCTTTTGATTTTATCTTGGATGTAGTGTGGTAATCACATGATATAGCAGAGCAGTTTCTGTGCTCCGTGGTGTCTGCGGGACATTCGTTGCATTCAGATCTTTCTCCACTTGAACCGTGAGCAGACCAGGGTCTCACTTGCAGGTCCTCACTTCTCAGTGTTGCTGTCGACGGGCGCAGGAGTGACCGCCTTTGACGGACCCTGGAGTGACCAGCTGTCATTCACAGCCCTTGAGTTTATAATAATAATATAATAATAAACTATTTTATATAGTGCCTTTAAAGTTGGCTTCTCAAAGCGCTTTACAGAATGACAACAACAATAAATAAAAAGAATACACAAGATAAAACACAATTACAATATACAGAGGAGACCGTGGATGGTGGTACTAAGAAAAGTAGAAGCAGAGGGGTAAAGAATGGAACCAGTTAAGTAAAGGATCTTCTAAAAAAGAAGGTTTTGAGTCTGGACTTGAAGGAGTTTAGAGAAGGTGACTCTCTGATATCCTTGGGCAAAGAGTTCCAGAGCTTGGGGACATAACAGGAGAAGGCCCTGTCGCCCATACAATGTAGAAGGGCTTGGGGGACAGTAAGGAGGGCAGAATTTGAAGAGCGGAGGTTGCGAGGTGGGGAGTAGGGCGATAATAGTTCAGACAGGTACGGAGGTGCCAAGCCATGCAGAGCCGTATAGGTGAGCATGAGGATTTTAAAGTCCACAAGAAATTTGACAGTAAGCCAGTGCAAGGACTCCAGGACAGGAGTAATGTGAACACTTGCACTAGACCTGGTCAGGATTCTGGCAGCTGAATTTTGGACATACTGCAGTTTGTTCAGAGTAGATTTAGATACCCCAGTGAGTAGAGCATTACAGTAGTCAATTTGAGAGAATACAAATGTGTTGATCAGCTTTTCAGCCACAGTTAGTGATAACATAGGGCGTAGTCTAGCGATTATTTCTGAGGTGAAAAAAAGATGTTATGACAATATGCTGCACATGCAGATCAAGTGTTAAGCCAGAATCGAATAGAACCCCAAGGTTTGTCAATTTAGACTGAAGCTCAAGTACAGAGCCATCTACAGACAGGGTTACAGGACTGGCTTTACGAAGTTGATGGGGGGTACCAATAAGCATGACTTCAGTCTTGTCACAGTTAAGATGAAGGAAGTTTTGAGTCATCCAAGTTTTTATGTCAGAGATGCAATTAGATAGAATAGAGACGGCCACATCAGTGTCTGGTTTGGTATGGATGTGTATTTGAGTTGAGTCACGATCGTTATTGTACGCAGCGCCTTTCCTGACTCATTATCTCCAGGCGCCGTACGATAACACAGCAGAGCCTGACGTGGCGGTTCTCCAGGTCGCTAACCCCAGCCCCCGTGTCGTGTCTTTCCAGTGGATGTGACCGTGACCCGCGGAGACACGTTCACTTTCCCCTTCTCCGTGATGGAGGAGGGATCGCTGGCGCACCCGAAGCACCGGGTGATCGCGCGGGTGACCCAGGCGAACTGCACCACAGTGTCCGGGTTCGAAGACAGGGTGTCCTGGGACGGGATGTGCGGGGTGTTTCGGATTGCAGACATGCAAACAGAGGACGCTGGGATTTTCAAGGTGAAGGATCAAAAGAGGAAGATGGTGAGGCTGAATCTGAAAGTGCGCGGTAAGTGCGATTCCGGTCCCCCCCATTTCCCACGATCCCTTTAGACCAGGCCACATTGCCAAGACCCGTTCCTCGGTTTGTGAACCAAAGTAGCTCCTCCACAACCTCCCGCGGTGAAAATTCGGAAAAGCATGAAACGGAATTGCCACGACTTACCAGGTGAAACACAGGGCTCGCTCCCTGTGTCGGGAGAACCTCCCCGCCCCAGCAGGGCCCCGAATCCACTCCCAGAGCCATCTTGCTGGGAATGATGAGCCAGGAAGATAAATAGACGAGGTGCTTGAAAGGCCCAGAAGCTCTGAGGAGCTGTGCTGAGGGAGGAAGGTGTCTTCCAGAGAGAGTACAGAGAAAACCAGTCTGCAGGTGTCTAGAGGGGAATTGCGAGGAGGGTGGGCTGGGGCTGAGGCTGGGGCTGGACTGCAGCAGGACTGCCACTGGACTCAGAACTGCTCTCTCACTGTTGCCTTTCAGATCCCAGTCTCTCCGTTCCGTCCAGAAAACAGGCCGCAGGGACAGGAGGTAAGACCGGAGATGCTCCTTCGCTTTGTGACAGGCTGTAGTAACAGGTCGGTCTGGGTGAGACCAGGGGTCTCTGCTTGCAGTCTAGAACATTAGGCTGCCAGTATCGCCCATCGGAGACGGGGTCCAGTCCCGATCCCTCCTGCTAGCGCCACCACCTCACTGCTGTCTGCACCGTCTCCACACTGCTCACACGGGGAATGTTCATTCCTGCCTTTGATCCCGCTTCCCACAGAAACGGTGGAACTGCCCGTCGGAGGGTCGTACTCTTTCCCGATCTCCGTACTGCGGGAGGGGACCTTGTCGCGGGCTCCTTACGGCCCCCTCATTGAGGTGTCGGAGGGGAAGAGCATCACTGTCCACCTGCGGGGGGTGGAGACCAAGGTGACCTGGAGCCACGAGACGGGAGAGTTTGCGGTCTCGCCTTCGAGCAGCAAGGGCTACGGGGAATATACCGTGGAAGACAAAAAAGGACAAGGATCATCATACACTGTTCACCTGACTGAGAGAGGTCAGTGGTCATCACTGCAGACCTGTGTTCAACACTGCAGTCTCATAATGTACTGGAGTATCCAGTCAGTGTGTCTGGACTGT